TAAATTATTAAAAATATTAAATATATTAATGTAACGTTATTTTCTCCGCTCCGAAGAAGATGACGACATGTTAATAATATTATTAATAATATTCAATATGTTAATTGTAATGGTGTAAATAATTTATAAAGAAAATTTATTAACATTTAATTTTAAGGTTGTTAGATTTAAAAAATAGAGATAATGTATCAATGTACCAAATATGAAATATTTCTGAAACAAAATTTGTACGCATACTAATTTATATGTCAAATGAGTTCCTCAATAAAAATCGTATATTTCCAAAAAAAATTATATGTATATAAAGCAAACTCACAACTAAAAAATTAAATTTTATAATAAGTTCAAAAAATGTATGCTATTATTAGTCGGTGTCATTATTAAAATAATACAGACATTGATAATTATGGTTAATGCAATTTGATAGTTTGATTAATTTTATTTATTTTTAATTGTCGCTACAAATTAAAATTTAATTTATAGATTACGATTATTATATAAGTTTGATAAAATACAAAGAAAAATATGTATATTCAAAACTTGTCTGCAATTCGTTATAAATTGATAATCATTGTTTCTAAAATAGTTTATTGTTAAAAACATTGATGTAAATCAATAATTAGTTACGCAATTTATTTAATTTGTTTAACCACAAACGTTCACCATATTTTTTGCCAATTAAGTAATAATTATTTTAGAGCATATTTTATGCAATTTTTCTAAGTGGTACAAATTGTCTAAGTAAAATAATTCTTATTGTGCCTTATAAGAGATTATGATTAATAATTAAAGAAACAGCTTTAAATTATTAAATAAATTCTGAAGTTTTGAGAAATTGAATAAATAATATAAGTTGATTGTCTTGCATCAAATTATTGCATTATGGAAGAAACCATTATTTAATTTTTCATAACGAATTGCAGGAAAGGATTTTCGTAGATCCCTCAATACAATTTGTTCTAAAAATTATTTTCAATGGGATTCTAGTTAGTTGTAAATTTTAAGTGCAGTATTTTTATATAATAATTAATTATTAAAAAAAGTTTGTATGCGTACTGGGCCTACTTGACAAATTATAGTAATCATATAGTTGTATTACAATTAGAATTGACAATAATACAATCGTATTTAAATAGTAATCAATAGAAATCGTATTTGAAGAGTCCAACTCGCAATTGACTTAATTTTGTCATTCTATATAAGAAAATATGGGAGTCATATATTGTTGTCTCAGAGTTGACAATAATACAAGTACAATAAAAACCTTATTAAACGAGTCCGACTCGAAACTGACTATTTTTTATTCTACTTGAGAAAGTATAGTAGTCATATATTGATACGAGTCCGACTCACAACTGACTAAATTTTTATATTCCACAGCATGCCGCCAGAAAACCTCTCGGAGAGGGTTGTCAACAACGACTGGCGCCCCCACATCAGATCTGAAGGGGTATGGATTAAAGAACTTCCAGGACCACCAGGCTGTCTCAAGCCCTGGTACAAAGGACTACCCTGGCACGAGCGATTGTCCAATCATCATACTTTGGCCAGCATAAGGCAATGCGCTATTTTCGTTCCCAAGCGGTGAGCATTATTTATTTTGCCTTTGATTCATGAAACAACATGAACGTCTAGTGATTTGCGGCTTTGTTAGGAGTAAAATTAAGACGAATTTGTTAGACTTCTAAACTGAAAGGTTTACTTCAACATAATAGAAAGATTATAGCATTTTTACTACTAATGCCAAGCACTTCCACAATCTAAAAGGGAGCATACAATACCAAAGTTTAAATTTTAGCATTAAGTGGAAGTAAATTTATAGATATTCTAGTTATCATGAATTGTAACAAGTCGTTAATTTATTTTCCGCATTTTTTGTTCTTTCAGAGTTCCACTCGATAGTTTAGACAATAAAATGATGTCAAACTACAACCATAGTTTAGAATTGTTTCCTGATCCTGTAGATATAGTCCTGCAGCAGGACACCATTAGCAATGTGGCCGAATTGGCACCACCATGCGTGGAGTATGGCGATAATTATACAAATGCAAGAGGGAAACCGTGGAGGAGATTGACAAACACCAGGGAACTAAAACGGGAACGAATTATTGCTTTGGTAAAAAAAATAAAATATTTAAAAAAATACAATCTGATCACACCAAAACTCGTATATACAAATAATTCATTAAATGCTATAGATTAGTTTATGGTAGAACTCTTTCAAACATGAAGAAGTAATAAGAATATGTCATATATTACTTTTTAGTAGAGAGAAGATGAAATAATTTTTAACTTAGACAATTAACTCCAGCATAAAGAAATTGTGTTTATAAGTCAGATTAAAACTTTTCACCAACTTCAGTCCACCATCTGCTCTTGCGGTACCATCAGTCCCTGCAGTAGAAAGCAGTAAAATGTTCTTTTCAAAATTTTATCCATGCAATATAAATCCTTTTTCTCTTCACTTTCTGCAATACTTCTTTATTAGTTACTTTGCCAATTCAATTTATCTCCTCCATATCAGTATCCAGCACCTTCCACATCATCTTGGTTCCTTATCTATGTTCCAGATATTGGCCTTCCTTAAAGACCAGGTCTCTGATTAACAGAGAATCAATATTTTTTATTTATTTTTATTTATATATATATATATATATATATATATATACATTATTTTCATATCTCAGACAGACAGAAGTGCCTGGTATTATGAGAGGTTACGAAATCAGTTTACCTAATTTATATATACATTTCATTTGATTATTTCATTAATATAATATCTATTATAATTAAAATATTTTTATATAACTCTTCAGTCTTCTTTGTCTCCAATTTCCTTATAAATTTCTTTATTTTTCTTTTAAATTTATTGTCATCATTGGTCATGTTAACATCGTTTGGCAATATTGAGTTCGATCATGAGTTGGGCCCCGTTTTTCAGGCAGACCACTCATAATTATATAATGATTATTTATTTTTACAGGGGCATCCTCTCCAGATAGCAGGACTAAAAGAGAGGATGTCACCACATCAAGTAAAGTTGATGAACAGTGGACACCATTCACCACTTACCAATCCAGGATATTCTAGACAACCGGCCGATGGAACAGTTTTCCGCTATTAACTTCTATTAACAATATATCTAAATTTCTGATAATTGTACTTTAAATACTAGACAATATAAATTATGGTTCAAACGATTATAATAATAAAGTTATAAATAGTTAGCAAATTGTATTACTATGCATTTTATATAAATACTTTACATATGGGGAAGTCCCCGAGTGGCGGACACCTAAGGTTAATTATAAATAAATTAAAAATATTTTGCGAAATGTTTATTAAATTATGACTTATGTTAGATAACAAAGGTAGAAATCAAACTAAATTAACAAAAACGCAACCATTGCTAAAAAATAATTGAAACTATCGATCAAACTTTGATAACAAAAAATTTGATTTGAAAAAGTAGCACCTAGTACCGGACATTTCAAATTAACCTGCATTGAACACATATGTACTATCTTCACACTCTGAAAGGTCTGCATATATGTGTTTGACAAATATTCTTAGATATTGCAAAAAAAATCACTATTCATCCACCATTTTGGCTGGAACACACCGATGTTCACAGCTAGAGCATTCATCATAAGCTTTTCATTTTTTGACTAGGAAATACAAAAAATGGGGGTATGTAGTGACCGTTAGCACTCACATAGAACAAAATTAAATAATTATTATAAATTACGTCAATTCTTACAAGAAATATCAATATGTTTACTGGCCAGCGCTAAGAGAGGACTTAGTGTCCGATGCTAAACGACAGACATATTCGTTCATTTGTTGGTACTTACTAAAATTGCTTAAAAGATCTAATAATATTCTACCATTTTACGGTTAACAATCAAGTACTTTTTTATCTTTGCATACCACTCTAATGTAAATGCATTAATATACTAGAATTACTTCCATTGATATTTAGGTTACTCCGTGATTTTGCACCTAAAACTAAAAAATACAACTAAAAAAGACAACCAAAAAATAAACTAATAAAAAAATCTATGAGCACTATAATTATTATTTCAGTTTATTTCTGCTAATAAATAGTGTTTTTTTTTAATATCCAAATATTATCCATTGATTCTAAAAATGAAGATAATTTTTCAAGAATCAAAACAGTAAGAAAATAATATAGACAATATATGAAAAATATATAACAATATATGACAAAACATAATTTTTTAAATAAATTTAACAAGAGTTCTTTGTGATTTTTTTACCTATATTGAATTTTCCTTTGCCTTTCTCTTCTATATTTTGCCTTAGTTAAGTTAGATTTTTTATTCGTTTAATCTTTGCCCGAAAAGGACAAGAAATACGTGTCACAACCGTACCCCAAAATTTCCCACAACGCACACTTTTGAAAACAAATCATCATTATGCCTAAGCTAAATTATTTAACAAAAACTAATTGCTTGTTAATAACTACTAATGTTCAGCTTACAGCAATATAACAAAAAAAGTAATCTACCTGTATACAATTAATAGTTATTATTAAAAGAATTCGATCATAAAAACTTACTTTTGACTGTTTAAAAACAATGTGGTCTACAGATCACGTAAATGTAAGACACTGACTAAAAGCAATAATGAGAACTTGTCCAAACAATCATACTTCAGCATTTCTCCTTTTGGACCCTATCTCAAAATCAGTATATGTAGTTTAGCTTTTATGACAACTGTTACTACCGTACCCAGTCTCCCTTATATAACAATTTTTTGCACACCGTCTATTTTGGAAATTGTTATGCCAATACAGCGATAAAATTACAATATCTTAATATATAATAATGTTTTGAAATACTGATTAATTATCTCATCTTGATATGATATCTTTATTTATAGTATATACATAGTCATTAAGATTATGATTACAATATCAAAACAACGTTACATATATCCTATTGTGCACAAACCATATACGATAAAACACATACGACAAATTAATGTGTTATATTTAATGAGTGTTTTGCTGTTTAATTATCGTATTAAACTGATATAGTACCAATAAATTATTTGGAAAATATTGTGTGTAAACATAAATTGTTGCGGAACAGATTGGTAAACGGTAAGTTGTTCTAAATTATAAACAAAATCAAATTTTTAATTCATAGGATTGCAAATATATTGTTTAGAGTTATCCTAAACAAATTTTGAGCAATAAATTCACATACATCATTTCATTATTCATAAATCTTGTTAATCATCATTTGTTGAAACTATGAGTTATCTACAGACAAATTATAAATAATTTTTATTAAATAAACTTCATATAAAATTATTTCTTTCCCATGAGTTTATCTTAGTGGGAAGTATTTACAATGACAGTTTAGAACTTCATAATTTACAAGCATTATTAAAGTAATGAATCTGTATTATTAGTGTGTGAAATTGTGCCTATTGACAAATTATCAGAACTTCCCAAATGTAAATAAACGTGTTTAAATGAAGTTAATCACTAAACAAAAATTTAGCACTCCAAATTAGTGATACGAGTAGTGAAACCGTAACAAATTATATAACAAACTAGTTTAGGGTGAATGGCATCGTGTCTTAAGGTAAAGTGCTGGAACTTCCCGTAACGTAATTAAAAATCTTGATACGAAACCCCAAAAAAATTACACAAAATGTGTACACATTATTAAAAGCTCTATAAAATATCTGATAATTTGATGTACATATGTCCTATAAACATTTTTGACCGCCAAATGACATTTTTTAACTTATTTTTATTGAGAGTCCATAACCGCTGGACCTGCTTCCCCAAAAATTTAATCAGTTCTTCACCTTGTCAATACAAGTAAAATGTTTTTTGAATTATTAAAATCGAACGCTCCGTTCTCTTAAAAACCGAGTTACCGTTTTTGGCACTTTTTGTCCCGTATCGTTGAAACGGCTATACCTGCCTATGCCAAAAACTAATCAGCACGTCTCCTTATCAACAGCAATCGAATGTTTTTTGAATATTTGAAATCGGTCGAACTGTGTTCCCGAAATCGTCGACGAAAATTTGTATCCGCACACACACACACACACACACATACACACATACACACATACATCCATTTTTCTAAAGTATGCCAAAATGTTCAGAAAGTTTTGAAACGTAAAGATATATGAAAATTTTCATTTGCGATTACTATAACTTACCCTAAGGGAAGTTAAAAAAGAAACCAAAGCCCGAAACAAGATTGATGTCTTCGAAATTTTGAAAATAATTTTCTTTTAATAATTTTCAAAAAATTGAGGCAATTGAATTTTTTAAAAACACGATATGAATCTCCTGATAACGTGGCGTCTGATTTTCAAAACCTTGATATCTTAGATTGCAAAGATCCCAAATATGTATGATTTTGAAGAAAACAGCTTGTTTTTTTTGTAACACATTATAAGCATTTATAAATTCAAGTTTCTCTAGAAAAAATCTATATCTTATTTAGTACAGGCTATATCTGCTAAATTTTGGAATTCTTGCGTTTTTATTGTTAAGTGCAAGATAGCTAAATAATAAGCAGTTGATCTATTTTTAGTATTTTTACCCTATTTTATTATTCATATATACGAATCGTCCAACAGTTAATTATCATTTATCATTTATTGAAGCCAATATAAAATTATGTAATAAAATTCATGAATGATAGTTAATAAAATATTGGAAACTACGAATAGCCAAATTTAGCATTTAATTATAGACAATATTATATACCGTAAATCCATAAAAGCTCATGTGGATTAATTTTGGATCATTTGCAGGTGAAAAGTACTTCAGAATTTTATTATACATAACCAAATATGTTAAAATGGTTATATATCATCGCTTTTGTAATCTTGTTAGAACAAAATGCGATCAATGCACAGTTTGATGCTCATCATGAACCAGGACGATCAGGAATCGTCCATTTATTCGAATGGACATGGCGCGATGTTGCAGCAGAATGTGAAAGATTTTTGGCACCAAATGGCTTTGCTGGTGTCCAAGTATGTATTTCTAATAAACTAATGAACTGTACTTTCGATCTTCGTAATTCTTACATATCATGATGGTTCAAATAATATCCTAGTGCTATCACATATTTATGCATATCATTATATTTCAAATAATATCCCAGTGGATTCGACACGCCTCACCTGACCACCTTATCCTATATAAGAGGTTTAAAAAGATATATATTTCTAAGATTTTTATCTTATTGAGACCAAAGTCAAATGATTATTTATATCACAATGGAGGTTCCAATAATATTCGAGATTAGATTTGACTGTATTCTACGATGATGATAGTTCTCATTAATGATGTGAAATGTAGAGAAAGGAACAAATGGTATCAAAACAATTTATTTTTATAGTTTAAGAAGAATAACGTATATAACTTTACTTGTTATGTTTTAAAAGCTTGCATTATACTTTCTAAAATAATATGAATAATCAAACTGCCAACATGAATGCAAATTTTATATTTTATTCAACAAAAACTACTGTAGAAGGTTGAAAAGAAAATCGCCACTTGATCTAAGTTGAGAACAAAATTCTCACCTTATTTTTATTATTTGAAAGAATACACTTTATAGTCATTAGAATATCCTTAGAATTTATCTATTTAGTGGTCTTTTGAGTTGTCATTATAAATATAATATCTTTTATACAATTGACACCAGTAAATCATGACAATTGCTATACGTCCTAAACTGGACAGGTGTAAATTTATAGGAAAAAAAATAAATAACTATTATATTTGGCAGGTATCGCCAGTTAACGAAAATATAGTTATCGAGAATAGACCATGGTGGGAACGATATCAGCCAATTTCATATAAAATAGTAACACGCTCTGGAAATGAAGGAGATTTTGCTGACATGGTCAGGCGATGTAATCAAGTAGGAGTGAGGTATGTGAAGATTATTTGAAAATATTTTTTTTATTTTCATATATATTTGCACCTATTAGATAACAAAATATCAGCAAATTTTTTGATTGCCCTTTGTAGAATGCCTAAAGCAGATGCCAATCCATTTATTGGGCGTCCGGATATGATGGTATCCTATTTTGCAGAGTTATGTCCTTTTACAAATAAATTATGCGAATAATATTTATATTAATATATGCAATAGTCTTTATTTATTTTATGTAAAAAAAATGTATATTACATACTGACGTATATATAAATACTATAAAGTAAAATTATATTGAAAATCATCGCAACAGCTCAAAGAACACTGAATGCTGTTCAAACAGCTAAAAAAGTTTTAATAACGATAAACTTTGTTACTATATTGAAAATTGATGTATTAATACCGCAAAATATATTCTCGTATACTTCGGTATCAAAATCTATAATATTTGTTGAATTTGTAATTGCAGTATTTCAGTAATTGATAACAAATCCCAAAAACAGTACTAAATTTATAAAAGAATACTGTATATTTCATATTAGTAAAAAATGTATTAAAGATAGTAAGTGCTCAAAATTTTAAAGTTAAAGTTTTGGTTCAAACTATCTAACTTTTGGAACATCATGAACCATGAAAATAATTTTAACCAATTTAACTTGACTTAATCTTCTATTAGAATTTATGTAGATGTGGTTATTAATCACATGTGCGGAAACCATGGCCATGCCACTGGAACTGGAGGAGGTACAGCAGTACCAGAAGAGCGCCAATATCCAGAAGGTACAATATTATTAGACAAATCGATAAGTTTGTTAATAAAAAATCACGCTTCTTCCAATATCTGATTTTATTTAAATCTTTTATCTAGTGCCTTATGGTCCAGGAGATTTCCACCCACCATGTACAATTACTGATTATACAAACGCGCAAGAGGTTAGGAACTGCGAATTAGTAGGTTTGCATGATTTGGATCAATCCAAAGATTGGACGAGGAAAAAGATCATAGATTTTCTCAACAAATTAGTTGATTTGGGCGTGGCTGGATTTCGGTAAAATTGATAAATGATTGTTAATTTATTAAGGTGACCATACATCCCGCATTGGCCGGGACAGTCTCGATTTTCCGTCTTGCATCCCGTTTTTTTTTAAAGCAATATTTGTCCCGGTTTTAGGTGTTTTGTCCCGGATTGTCCCGGATTTTTAATAATAGTTTGATTGCCGACCTTTTTTTGAAATATATTTCAACTAGAAAATTTGAAACGAAAAAATGTGCATACAAGTTTTTAGCTCACCCCCCTTCCCCCCTTCCGCTCTCTTACACATTCTAGTACGTCCCGGATTTGTTGCAAAAAAATATGGTCACCTTATTGTTAATATATTACAAGACTTATGATTGAAAAAAATTATAGGGTTGACGCTGCTAAACATATGTGGCCATCGGATTTGGCTTTTATATATAATGCTGTAAGAAATCTGAACACTGCTTATGGATTCAACGATGGGGCTAGACCTTTTATTTATCAAGAAGTTATTGACCTAGGTATGAAATTCTTCGCACATTTTTTTTGCGAGAAGCTTAATAACAAATATTTTAATTCTATTCAAAACTTGATCAACGCAGAGCCTAATTCATATCTTTCAAATGATACTTAATGTTAGTTTTCATAACTAAATACCCAAATATTCAGAGCATTATGAAAGTATGAAATAACATTGGAGCAACTTTATGAATCTACTCCCCATCTAATTTATCTATTCGATTATCGAGTTGGCTGTAAAATTACTCCGAATTTAATTACTGGCTATAAACTACCAATTCTAGGAATCTCTAACAGTCATTAATTAATAATGAGCAATTATTAATATAATTAATAGGTGGTGAAGCAGTGTCCAAAAACGAATACACAAACATAGGACGAGTAACTGAATTCAAATTCAGTGCTGAAATTGGAAGAGCCTTCCGGGGTCACAATGCCTTGAAATGGCTGGTCAACTGGGGTCCTGCATGGGGTATGCTGCCAGATGATAAGGCGCTTGTATTTGTTGACAATCACGATAACCAGGTTAATTTTATATATGAACCAGTATCATATCTATCGCCAATAGCTAGTTGGTTGCTTGCGTAATTGCATTCACAAATGACGAATTGGTTATTCATAATTAATAAAATTCATGAAGCAATTTCATTATATCTATCCCAAATGTGTATTACAAGTATTTCTGTTTTTCAGCGAGGCCATGGAAGTGGTGGTTCAGAAATATTAACTCATAAGCAGCCTAAACAATATAAAATGGCAATTGCCTTTACTTTGGCTCATCCATATGGTCTACCTAGACTGATGTCAAGCTTTGGTTTTAGCAATAGTGACCAAGGTCCTCCACAAGATCAATCTGGAAATATCGTGTCACCGCAGTTTGATGCAAATGCAAGTATTATGATAAAACGACAAGTAATACTAATAGTCTCCTAAAAAGTAGGCAAGATCCAAAATATATCGTGCCTTGCAGCATGATCTAGTAACATATAATAGTACATAATTTGCTGATCAACTTTTGAAGGTTCTCTAATAGTTAGAAAATCTTGGACATAACGATTGGGAACCTAGAAAGATATTTGTTAGCTTTTGAAATAATAAACTAAATTAAAACAAACGTAATTTCATTACTGTGTCAATTTTCTCCCAAATCAAGATTTGAAGGCATTGTACATGATAAGAATAAATAAGGGATAAATATCATTTCTTCCTTATTTTTCTATATGAGTGAAAATTAATTTTCAAATTATAATATTATATTATTTTTAGACTGGTGCCTGTACCAACGGATGGATATGTGAGCATAGATGGAGACAAATTTACTCAATGGTGGCTTTTAGAAATGTGGTCCAAAATAATAAAATTCAACATTGGTGGGATAATGGTTCAAACCAGATTGCATTTGCACGCGGTTGTGCTGGTCTAGCAGTCTTCAATAATGAAAATCAACAGAACTTGCAACAAACGCTTCAGGTAATTTTTAGCCAAATATATGAAAATTGACTACTTTTCTTTATCATGAATGAAATAAAAATATTTTAAATATTGTTAAATTATTCTAACAGTTTTTATTGTAGTTTTAGAAGTTTTTCCTGTGTTTATTTTCCAATATTTAACAGCGGATAACATTTGATATTGAAGATATATCTAACAATTAATAGAAAATTACACCAATGTTCCCATTAAAATATTTTTTAAATAAATAGTACAAATTTAAACTTAATTTAAGAATAGAAAAATATAACAAACATTTTTTGTCAAACATCAACCGTCTTCTAATACATGATGAGCAGAACATCACTTCTGAAAGACTTTGCAAAATAATTTTTGACGAATAAAAAAAAGATAATATGTTTTAATTGTGGAAAATATTGAAAATAGTGGTAGATATAAGAAATATTTATTATGCTATTCTTTTCATTTAATTTATTTTTATTGATTTATTTAATAAATGATTGATTAATTTAATAATTCTAGACTTGTTTGCCTGCCGGAAGATATTGCGATGTAATATCTGGAAAAGCGGAAAATGGCAGGTGTTCCGGTAAAACTGTAGAAGTATCACCTGATGGAAAAGCTTATGTAGAGATTTTACATTCGGAAGACGATGGGGTTCTCGCTATACATATAGGAAAACAGGTAAATTTAAATCCAAGATATTTTATTTTCTTAGCGCAATTAATATAGTAATTCACAAAACTTATGTTTTTAATGAAAGAGTAGATATGATCAAATACTCATAATTAATTATAATCATAATAATTAGATACTTCTAACATTATTGACTTAATCTACTCGTTAGTCAAATTTTAAGTAGACGATAAACGTACGCTTATTGGATATTGAAATTAAATTTTAGTGTTTGATTTTTTTTTGAATTTTTAACGTCGCAATTATTTAATAATCACTAATCATTATTAATTATTTAGCAACGTTATATTAAATAGTACAAGTTATATAACTACACAGATAAATAATTTCTTAATACCTTCGTAATTTCTTAAAAAAATCTATTTGTTCTAAATGAACATTGTTTCTAAATAAAATGATTCATGCAAACAAGAATTTTCTTGTATACTCATAATTGAATTAAATGTTAAGTACGATACATCGCATTAAATGCATATAAATGTATAATATACGCTTATATATAACAAAAATAATATACTTAATGTTAATTATTACTAAAATATAATCGACAATACTTAACTAATTCTAAATATTGCAATATTTCAGTCTCTTCTCAGCCTAAAGTCCAAAATGTAGTCGAGTTTGAAAAAGAGGAAGTCAAGTCAATGACAGAGGTTATCATGTGGTTATTTAGTCCATATGTAATATTGTATGGTTGTGGTTAATAAAGTAAATTTCCTTCATTAGATTTTCATTACCGGAACCGGAATGTTTGTAATCTTTATTATTTTCATTTAAACTCGACTTTAATTAAAAAACAGTAACCTTAGTTATGGTAATCTTAATCATGTAGTTCATAAGATATCCAAGTAATACCAGTTCATTCAAAATTGTAAAATCTGCACGAATTCTAGCTTTAACAATATTAACTATTCAAGATAAAAATGAAAAATAAAATCTCATACTTAATAAATGTCCGGGGCAAAAGAAATATTACAAAAATAAAATAAAAGCTTCATCTTATGAGTGAAATAATGCATATTTCATATTAAATTAGGGTATGGGAAACTTGGTATGGTTGTGCCAAGGTAGTAATTAACAGTCACCATAAGAGCTGAAATACTAATTTTGACATAGGGTCCGAAGGAAGAAAGATAAAGTATATTTGTTCGAGCAAGTTTACATTATCCGCATTGAGTCAGCGCCCTAAATTAACACGATTTCACGTAGACCGCATTTCTTTTAAAGGGTTAAAAAAGTTTTTATTTAATAATAACTTTTTCTTGTATAGAGATAAATCACTTGTTGGTTATTTTTCTGTAAATTAAACATTAGTAGATAATTACCAGCAATTTAGCATAGTTATAACGATGATTTGTTTTTAAAAAGGTGCGTTGTGCTTTTCAAATAAAGATTAAACAGATAAGGAAAAATCTAGCCTAACTAATCGTAAGATAAAATATGAAAAAGAAAGGGATAGCAAAATTCTATACAAGAAAAAAATTATGACTGATCAAAGAAAAGTGGCACAACCGTACCCAGTCTTACCCCAGTCACGAAGTACAATACATTTTGGCAAACAATGACTAAACTTACACAACTGAAATTGTTCCAATGTAAGCTATAATACTGTAATCATTAAAAATATTTTTTTTTTAAATTATAAACATTTCTTACAAAATATGATAAAAGTCAACAATTTAAAAAAATAGTCTTGCTTAAAAATATAGTTATTTCTTATCACAGATAAAACTAGATAGGTGGGTAGTAGTAATAATTATATCATGATACAGGATTAGGAATTAGTTTCCAAGGGATAAAAGTTACATTAGGATGATTTGCTAGCCAAATTCTCGTGCATTTACTTCCGCAAAACATTGCACTACATAATAAGTATGAATCGCCGAATAATCTTTTGACGGGCCTAAAATAAAAATATATTATTTTTTTCGACCACATTATATACACATTTTCTTATTGTAATAAAAAACAATAAGAGAGAGGTGTGTAGTGAATAAATATTAATTTGGAATTATTTAGAAGTATTTACAGTATGAATCATTTATTTCAAAATAAATTTCCACCACAGTAATCTGTGATATTTGTCATCAAAATGTGCAAGATGTTTGTCATTAAAACTTGATCATTTTCTAAGTAATATTTATTTCAAGTCTTACTATTAGTATACTTACTTTTAGTATACTACTTGAGAAAACCAAAAAGCGTTCACAGACACATTATTTTTATGATTAATTTTTTTCAGATAACAACCACCAGTTTTTTTCTATGGTTCTGCAGATAAATTAAAATATGACTTTCTTTTCGGGTAAGGCAAGGCACAAAGGTCTAATTTGATTTTGAGCAATTATATTGAGAAAACTAAACCAAATTCTATCATAATAAATATCTCATTTCAAACAAACAACTATCTGACTGTGTTCAATAAAATTCCTAGCTAATTCATCATTGCAGAAGTGTGTTTTCCAAAAATTTGTCGCCTGATATTTTTTACCCCATAGGGGGGGGGGTAAAATAGCATGGCCAGGGGGCACCCGGTGCATGTTTAATTTACAATTTTAAAGAGATTTTACGAAATAATAGCTACATTATTCAACCAATCCAAATAATATAAATTTCATGGGTTAATTTTATACAGACCTGGATCTGGTACTTCATCAGATATGTTCACCAGCAAAGTTGGAATGACTATTTATTCAATTTAACTCTTGTAAAATTGTTTAATTTACTTCTAAATTTGGTATTTTTCATTGTTTACACCTTTGCCAGGATAAAAAATCAGTTGTCCTTTTACTCCAGAACCCATGTGTAAGTTTTCATATAGTGAGTTTATGGTGGTATTTCAATTAGTGGGTACTAACTTAAAATTAACAACACTAGATGTATTAAAACATAAAATATACTTAAAAATTACATTAAGGTCTCGAAAACTAGAGAACAGTGCTCTCAACAAAAAATCTAACGACCTAAAAAATTAATTTTATTATGGATTTTCAATCCTTTGCCGTTTATCTCCTGATAGCATCATAGTAAGAATCAAAGTGATGGCTGATTGATAATCTCTTTCCTTCTACTTTTCCAAATATTGTTGTTAATAAATTTTAACTTTACTTGTTTTTGAGATATCGGTAGCAGACCTATTTACCGCGGACTTTGAGCCCTCTCTACCCTATAAAATTTGGCATAAATTGCGAAATTTCATGAGCTAGTCTGTAAACTTGTCCCTAAAGTAACTCACTTTCAAGCACCTCCCTCCTATATTAAAATGCCTCATTATCATACCTGTTTAAAAAGCAGAGCACTCCATATTCAAACAATCCAATTTTGCAGTTGTGGCAAACGGCATTCGGCCCTTCTTTTAACTGAGAACTCAGATGTAGAGGTAGTTCCTCAACATGCATTACTTCATGAGTCATTTTTATAAAACTTTTTCCGTTCACATAATAATGACCCTCTCCATCATAATCACTATCATAAAATTCATTATAATCTTCATCATCACAGTTTTCATTCTCATCCAGAAAGAAAGAGGTTTTGCTCAAAATAGCATGTGTTTTCCGCAAGGCCAATTCGAACAATGTTGGCATTTTTGGAGCAAAATATTGTGAAACATGTTTGATACCCGAATATAAATAAACATCAATTTCTGGTAAATTTTCAGTATTGACTACTTTTACATGGATTTGTCCTGGATGGAAAAATTCTGTCGAATCGTATGTCCTGCAATCAATTTGTAAATGCATCAGGTTGTCGTACAAGTGAAGGTAATAAAAATATATAATTGATTATATATTTCTAATTACCAAAATCGTGTGCTGATATGTGGATTGATATCAAATAGAGGTTCAAGAGTCAAGGGTACATGTTTCAGGGCAGGGTTCAGCTTGAAAATAATATTAGGCAGAGGATCAGCGGCCAATGGTAATGCTGGTAAGCAGCGCAAATCACAACCTGTTAATATCCAAATTAATTAATTATTTCTCATATACACTAGTATCATTAACTTCTTATCTATGTGTGGGTATCTTCCACATATATTTCTTACACCTCTTATATAGATGGTACCCATATATGTACTTCCTAAGAAGTTCACTATCAAATTCAGAATACCTGGCAATAGCAACATTAGCTCATAACTTATTTATAACCTAATTCACACACTTTTAACATCCAACATTTTGCCTATTACTTAATTAGTTATAATCATACACACCACTCACATATAAACATCTGGAGTTTAATAAACTCAATATGTAATATAAAACTTTTCAAAATAATCAATTGTATCACGATTGGTTTATCATGTTCATAAAAACAAGAATTCGAACAACAATGCTGGTTAAAAACTTGTTTAGTTATTTAATTCATTCATTTTACTAATTATTAAGTAGCTATTTGTTCTACATCATAATGATTATTAAGTAAATTATTTATTATTTTACTTTTTTACTCAAAGCTCTTTTTCCTTGATTTCTAAATTTTCTCGAAATCTGATAAACTGAGTGACTAAATAAAGTGACAAAAATTTTAAAATCCCAAACAAAAACTGCTTCCCGCGTTTTAAAGTGAGAAAATTAAAAGTATTTGCACAGATATTCCTGTGAAAATATTTCATTAAAAATACGCCATGTGAATAAAAACATAAATGGCAAAAATATTTTTAAAAAATTGCTAATTTTTTACTGATTTCAAAAAGAAATAGTCATTGCAGGTTCATATTATACAAAATAACTAATATATGGGTATATAAAAAAAAATTTATTAGCAGATTATTATTATATTAGCAGACTTGAACACATTTCTGTGTCTATATTCAAATATAGTTAAATTTTACAAAAAATTTTTTGTTGCTATTAAAAAAGCGACACTTGGAGAATCCAGAAATTGTCAATGATAACATTATTTTCAAACTAGTGGTGTATAATGGCATCGTGCTTGAGGCAAATTGCTGAAATTCCCCGTACCAGAAATACATTTTTTTTAAACTTAAAAAAAAAAATATTTTGAAAATCTTGAAATTTTTGAAAAAAATTGACATTCTTGAAAAAAATTTTTTTTGTTCATATTTTAAAATATTTTGGATAGTTTGAACTTTTTTCCAGAGCCATCGCATTGCTTTAGCTACATAGAGACAAATTACATAGAGACAAATTTATATCCAAACACATACACACACATACATCAACTTTTTCTAAGGCATGCCAAAAAGTTCAGAAACGTAAAGATATATAAAAAATTTCATTTTCGATTTTTTTTGCGATTACTATAACTTACCCTACTGAAAGTAAATAAAGACCACATAATAATAAACAAATCACGCCTAATTATCAGTTACTAAATAATTTTCATTATTTAAAATTTTATAAATTTCAAAAATTGTTAAACTTTTAAAAAAAAATCAATTATCATTGAAGATGTAAATCCAAATTTATGGATTTAATCAATTATACAGATTTATTAACTGATGGCAAACAACATCTTAGGACATTTGAATGTATCCAATAATAGCCCTTGATAACATTATTTTCATTTACAGACTGGACAACAATAAGCACATGATGCCTACATGCCTAAATTAAATTTATCAGTTACTGTCTAAATTTCTATATTCAGTTTTTCTATGATCAGTAATCTAATTATGATGATGTCTATTATCAAAAAGTCCGACAAATCCAAATTTGAGTTGTTAAGAGCAAGAGTGACCATTCATGTTAATTAGAGCGTTAGAATATTTCAAGTCAAGTTTAAGTTAAAGTTTGACTTACAATTTGCGCTCAATTCCCTCAGACGTGGTAAGGAAAACACGGAAGGTGGCAATTCGAACAGTGGATTGCTGTCGACAGAAAGTTCTTCCAAGTTTCGAAGCTCACCAACACTCGGAGGCAGGCACTTTATGCCGTTGTAACTCACGTCCAAACGTCGCAAAGATCGTAATTGTGTGAAATCTGAGGAAAATAACCGATATTATAAAATAAGGTAAGTGATTTTCAAATTTTCAAATTACAAATTTAATAAGATTTTTGAGTTTATGTTTGAAGAGAAGAGAAAAATATTTTTTAGAAACCCTATCATTATGCTCAGAATAAAGAGAATAAATCAACCACAAGTCTAAATATTATTTTCAACGTAATCTAACAAGACAAACTATAAGCTGTAAGGGTATGAAATAATAAAGTGAAATACAAGACATAATTTATTGTTCTGATATTTTATTTCGTCAGCCTTTAATCAGAGGACAACCTGCTGATTTGCAATAATCGTTTCGAGATTTCTTTGCATACATTTTTTTTATTGTTATTCATTTGAACAGCGACCAGAACTTTAAGATATTTATGAGCTGTTGTCATTAATTTCTTACAAACTATGTTTGCTAATTATAGAAGGCAACTCAAAACACTTGACTATTATTACAATTGACTTGATTATTATTACAATTATTATGATAGAAATGCCTTTTTTTACTAATATAGCAGTGCCTGGATAAGATGTATTTTCACTTGGAAACATATTGCTATCTATATTTCGAATGAAAATTCGCTGTCACTACTACTTGACATCAGGCTGCTCGAACCTCTGATTCAGATCCAGCCGCTCTAGCAACATACAACGAGCCCCTTTGCACAAATAGCTACAAATTTTGAGTATTTTCGATACGAAGCATCGGAAAGAATGAATGAAAAAAATAACTATCACATATAAGGTTGTAATCGAGTGATAAGATTATAAATATTGGTAGATTCGTATTTCGTAATCGATTACATGATTCATATTCCATGTATCATATTTATTCGACATGAGCAAAGAAGTAAGTAATAACCACGACCGCGCATTTCTGAAAACTGATATAACAATGCAAGTAAATTAAAAATAGCATATTTAATGAGTAAATTTATTATATTTAAGGACTCCTATACTACCATCTTCGAGATGATAAAAAGTGAAAGTTTATGTTTGTCCAAAAATCATATTTTCTAATTTCAAGAAAATCATTCCTTGATCATTTTCAATATTTCATCACATGATAGTAAAAAATTTGTAAATATCGACAAGTTAATAGCTATTTGAAAAATCAACAAGGGCTCGCATTGAGCAGCTCACAATTTTAGAAACAGATCTATTACTACTTGGGAAAGATAGTCAAAGTATAGTTAAAGTAGTTTGTTAACTATTATAAGATGATTCATCTTATGACATTAAAATTTAGAAAAATATTTTACTAATTTCAATTAACATTTATGATTATTTGTGTGAGAATTGAAGAATCTGTATTTTCAGTTCTCACTGTTTGACCCGCGCTAAAAATATAATTTACAAATCACATTTGAATTAAAAAGATCGTAATTTACAAAAGAACAAAAACAAGCAAAAAATATCATCGTCTTCAAAAAACTGTTGCTATTGAATTTAACGAAAAAAATACATACAGACAAAACAAAAAATATTTGTTTGCATGGATGCCTAAAATTATTTAAACTAAGTCATCGATCTAAAAGCTCAATCCTTTAATGATCCATTTATTACATGTTTGCTATTTTACATACTGTGGTATGGGTTTAGGTTTACGTTTTACTTGAGATAACATAATTTCGTGCTTGCGTCTTAATTAAGAGAAACATTACTTCAGAATGTTTATTGATGTAAAATTCCAATAATATTAGGTCATGATGCTTTATTTACCCGGGCTGAATAAGCACACATTTCATAGAAGGAGGAGCTTCTTGATTAATAATGCACAGGAATCGAAAAATTAAATTAGACTTAGAATAATAATAAAAAGTTGTAAGTTGCATTTTGCCTTGTGGCAAATTGCATAAACTTTCCGATAAGTGTATATAATCGGTTTATTCAATAATGGTTTTTGAATTATAGATAATCTGCCAGTTTACATGTCTACCTGTCTTGCTGTCCACCTGTGTACTTATCTACATTTATTACCGTTCACCTGTTTACCTTTCTTTGTTTTATTTTCCCATTTAGTATGTTTACATGTATCTTCAAAATAGAGGGTTTAGAGTTAAAGTAAATATGGAAACTTCATCAGCTTGCTTGGTTGAAGCAGGAGTCCCACAAGAAGTGTACTGGATCCATACCTTTACATTCTCTATACTAGCGATTTTCCTACAGATGAAAATTTAACAACTGCCACATTTGCCGATGATATTGCTATTCTATCTCCAGATCCTGATCCAGTTGTAGCATCGAGAAGGCTTCAGAGTCATCTAAGAGTCATTGAAAAATGGACTAGCAAATGGCGCATAAAAATCAATGACAATAAATCAACCCATGTAATATTCACACTTAACAAATCTTCTTGCGCAGCAGTTCAATTTCATGATAAGACAATTCCAGTTAAAATATCAACAAAATACCTCGGGATGATATTAGATAGCAAACTAACCTGGAAGCAACACATACTTTCAAAAATAGCTCTAGTAAAAAATAGAACTAAGGAAATTTACTGGCTTATAGGTAACAAATCCAAATTACCTATTGAAAGCAAGATACTAATATATAAAACAATAATAAAGCCGATATGGACCTACGGTGTGGAATTATAGGGATGTGCAAAAAAATCTCACATTGATTCAATACAACGATCAAAAATCAAAAATTCTAAGGCAGATCGTAAACGCTCCATGGTATGTCAGTAACAAAATTATTCATGACGACTTGAACATACCATTTGTGGAAGATGTAATTAGCAGTACCAGTCATCGCCATTTTGAGAAGTTGGAATCCCATCCCAATGAAATAGTAAAACATCTTCTTGAAGAACCCCGATCTACGAGGCTCAAAAGAAAAGTTCCAATTGATTTGAAGATAGATCAATCTCGATAAAGACCAGACTCAGCCCTCGATATATACCTCAGCTAGATTAGTTGTGCACTTAATGGAGTGGCATCTATTATAATTTTTAAAAATTCAGCCAATCTATTTATGTGTGTGTATATGACTGTGTGTGAGTATGTTTACTGTGTGAGTGAGTACAAATATAGCACAATAGCTCATAGAATTTTGTAAATTCTGATTGCTATTAAATAAAGTATAAAAAAGTATGTTCACATGTCTACCTGTCTACCTATTTACCCGTCCGCTATTTACCTGTCTAAGTGTCAATGTCTCTACATTTATACCAGTCATCCTACCTTTATATCTATCTTTCTGCTTTTTACTTGTTAACGTGTCTACCTGTATACCTGTTTAATTCAACAACTAACTATCTGCCTGTTTACTTTTAATATACCATTCCACTTTACTACCTTTTTGCCCGTCTACCTATTTACTCGTTTACCTTTCTACATTTATACATTTCTCGCTGTTCACCTATCTACCTGTCTATATGTCCTATCTATCTACCTGTCTACCTGTCTGTCAATAAATGACTTGTATTGATTTGAAAAGCCGCCCCTGTAATTGTTACACAAAATGTATCAAGATTTTTCTATCATTATTGATATAAATGTATTTAAGGTGATGACTAGTTACACATCTTTTGCCTTCTACTATGAAATACCAGTATCATTAAAAAATTTAATAATTTGCTTGTTTTTGAGATAATGATGGTGGATTAAAAAATTAAAACTTACACTTTTAGAATTATAAATATTTAAGCAAAATTCGACACATTGGATGTCTTCTAAAGATCGCACTCGTACACACAGGTAGTCAAGTGACGCTCGTAGCGAAAGGGTTACTAGGCTATTAGAATGATCAGTCGGCCTTTTTTTATACTTTGTTTTATTATATTGATGTAATAAAACTTTTAATATTGCTTTATTTTTAGTAAGCTTTTACGACGTTGCCGCAGCAATATCGCATAAAATTATGAACATAAAACTTTAAACACGATTACGTAATATATGCATAAATGTGCAAACACCATTATTAAGTATAAACAACTTCGATAAACGGCCATTTGTTTATTCCACCACGATATTAATCAGGATTAAGTTCGTCATCGATAAAATTGTAATAACTATGAATATGGAAATATAAAATAAGTATAACGATACGAGAATACCTACGTAATTAGAACACTTTTGATTACATTAATATTATAAACAGTGAAAATACTGCCTACATCAATCGTTCGTCAGGTAAATTTCTCAAACAGGTAAAGGTGATAATCAGAGTGAGACTAATTATTAGTTATGCATGCACTATGAGAATTGTTAAAAGAAATTGTAATGAATCACTCTGAACAAATGCGCGGTGTATGATTACCGATAAATGTGTGCATTTCTTTTTTATATTTATTTTTTCTTTCTAAAAATAGGTGAAACTAGTGATGCATGGCGTTTTTTATTTAAATCGGACGCTTCGTTATCTCAAAAACTAAAATACCATTTTCGGCACTTTTTGCCCCGTATCTCCGAAACGGTTTGATCTGTCTTTACCAAAACCTAATCAGCGGGTCTCCTTATCAGTAGGAATCGAATGTTTTTTTAATTATTCAAATCGGTTGATCCGTATTCGCGAAAAAGGTCAACGAAATTTTGTATCCGCACAAACACACATACATACATTTTTTCTAAGGTAAGCCAAAATGTTCAGAAACCCCTGAAACGTAAAGATCTATAAAAAATTTCAGTATCTCTTTTTTGCGATCACCATAATTTACCCTACGAAAAGTTAATAAACAAGGTTAGTTATGAATTATACAATAATATTCATACGCAAAAGGATTTTCAATACGAAATATCATCCAAAGTCTAAAAATTCCAATTTTAAATGAGCAAACTTTAACAATAGCGTAGAGAGAAAAGTAAAAGCCCGCGGATAAAAGGGTCCACTATCATTATCTCAGAAAAAGCAAAGTATTAAATTTTTCAATGATACTATTTTAAAGTAGAAGGCAAAAAATGTTAACCAACTATCACCTTAAGTTGCCTTCGATCTGTCTTCTTAATATCCATCAAATAAAAATTCGTAAAATTGATAAACCTATAATAAGCAATCGATCACAATTGTAGTATTACACCTATTATCGCTTATTTTAAGCTTAATAAACAAATATTGTTATTATTCCAGAAAATCTAAGCCATTCGATAAGTTCTTCAATTACTCAATTATCGCAGACAATTAACTCAATCAATTTCATAAACAATCACACTTCTATTTGAAATGTTCTCATCAAATTGTTTGTAAATTGCAAATTGGTTGCAAATATCAAATTGTTTGTAAATTTTCGGATATATCAACTTATAATTTTATATAAATTACTAGCTGACCCGGCAAACGTTGTTTTGCTAAGTAAGGTATATTCTAAACAATTTCTAGAGAATCAAAAATATTAATACTATAAGTGTATAAGGATGTGTTGTTTGAATGCTATATACAATGAGGTATTATAAAAACAATAAACCCCATTAGTTTGTCTATGTTTTGTCAATTCAATAAAAAAGCTACCAACAGAAGAAAATACTTTTACTATGGATTTTCAAAGATGACCGTTTATCTCCCAATATCAAAGTCATAAGAATCAAGGTTATAGCTGGTTATACATCTTTCTCCCTTCACTTTCAAATAATGTTGTTAAACAATGCTTCAGCTTTACTGGATTTTGACACTTTGGTCGTGAAACTTTTAACCCCGTACCTTCATATATTACTAACCATTCTTTGATAAATTCTGGGAAATTATAACTGGGAATAAGTTATTCGACAAAATGTACATGTAAATGTAAGTAATGCTCTTTTTCAGTCTTGGTCGCCGCATTATTATTAAACTTCACTTCACCTTATATATATATATATATATATATATATATATATATATATATATAGTATCATAGATTGAATAAACTACATGGATAGTTTATAAATAATTAATTCTGAATTAGAATGAAAAACGGGCTCTAAACTACCTCTCTGCCACCAATTACTGAGCCACAGCAACGCGTGGCCGGGCTAGCTAGTATTTTTTTTATATATATAAATATACTATCAATTAAACTGAAAATCGGGATAAAAAGTATCCTAAGTCCTTCTCCTGGCTCTAAGCTACCTCCCTGCCAATTTTCATCTAAATCGGTTCAGCCGTTCGTGAGTTATAAGTGTTAGCACATAAAGCGATCCTCTTTTATATATATAGATTTAACCATTTATTGGATTTAAGTTTCACAAAAATGGAAAATTCTGCTCTATACATTTTTAAATTTGTATATTTCACTTAAATTTTATGAAAGTTACTTTTTCATTGTTTGTAACTGCTGAAAATAACACATTATCTAATTCATTATGGTACTGTATAATGCTACAAAGAAACCCATTATATAAATTCGTTAATTGCGTTACTTTGTTGTAAAATGTTATCACATTTTAATAATTCACTATTAAATTAATCTCTTTGCAAAACAATTTTCTGAAGTAAATTTATCAATCAGATTATTATATAGAGTACGAAAAGCATCTACAACAAACTTCAAAATAAAATTGCTGCTAAAAATGAAAAATTTGATTGAATATGAAAAGAAATAAAGAAGTTATATTTGGAACTAAGTAAGAAGTTACACGAATCAATGAAAATATGCACGTATATGCCCAAATATTTAAGATACGATACATGTATGTTCAAACTAAAGTGAAATATAGTGTTTTTTATTGGGCTTTTTATTTCATTTTTATATTCGGCATTTTATTAATTTCCCGCAGGGTAAGTTATTGTAATCGTCCAAAAATCGAAATTGAAAATGTTTGCATTTCTTCACGTTTTGAAGGTTTCTGAACATTTTGGCATACCTCAGAAAAAAGGATGGTTCAAAAACATTAGATTCCTATTGATAAGGAGATGTGCTAATTAGTTTTCTGTCAACATATATTAGTTACAGTATTTATAATAATCTATTTGAAAGCATTTAATATTCCTAGAATATTTCATAACGTATGGGAAGTTCCAGCAATTTGCCTTAAGACATGATGCCATTCACCCCTAGTTAGTTTTAAAAATAAACAAGTATGTGTTTAGTTAAAAAATTATAGAAAACAAGCATTCTCAGCCTGCTAAGTTTGTATGTTTTTTTTAAAATGGCAATGAGCCAAGTAAAAAATTTATGTATCTGGACCTTTGATTAGACATTCGAAAAGCCTAGTTCTAGTAAAACAATCGACTAGCATACACAAAATATGTTGATAGATCAAATTTAGTAAACAACGGAATATTGCCAAGCAATTATTATCAAAGATGTCTTTGCTGGTGTTTTCATAATGTTGCTCACAAAGACACTTTACTCTATTAGCACTATTTGTAGTTTGATATTAATATTTGAAAAAAAAATCTGACTACTTACCGGGCAAATTGGTCAAGTTATTATCAGTAATGATTAAATTCGTCAAACTGTGTAAAGATTTGATCTCTTGCGGAAGTTTGCTCAAACTGTTACTACTTAAGTTCAGATCAGTCAGGTGCGACAAGGTGCCAATTTCCTCCGGAATATCCCGCAAATTATTATTATCCAAATAAAGTGCACTCAAATTCCTTAAATACGTGATCCATGGCGGCAAAGTTTGAATTCTATTATGTTGTAAATGCATTTCCCTCACGCTACTGCCATAATGTTCCAATTCACTTGGCAACTCCATAATTCCATGATGATTCCAGTTAATGATCGCGTTTGTGGACCAGTTTTCCATGATTTCGGATTAGCAGGTTGCAAATTATAAGTTTGCAGTTTGAAGTTCTTAGCTGGAGTTTACAACTGGATATCTGATCCTGAAATTGTGTATTTCTGGGCTCATCACATCAAAAGACAAGAACGCACTGCCAAGTTATTTTTAACGCGCGCGTTTATTAGTAGAACGTGAATGCTATACACTGATTGAGATGCATTTTTGATAGTTGCCAGTCTTACAATCATTTTGTAAGTGAAAAAGAAACATTGGAGCTAAAAAACGTTCAATTTAGAAAAAAATAGTTTTTTTGTGACATTTTGTAAAACGTCATATTTTAAAATTTGAAAAAAATAATGATAATATCATTGGATTCATAGCTTTAAAATTATTAACAAAAAACTGTGTTTATAAGGTACTAATCTATACACTCAGTACTTGTGCATCACATGTGTATTTTGCAAATTTTAATAATTTCTAAATTTGCAATTCAGTTTAATTTCTACGCTGAATAATATTTCCAAAATTGCAATAAATGTAACAAACCAATAAGAGTGAAAACACATAAAAATTTGAATAATCATGAACTATAGCTAATGCTAAATTAATTAATTTAAATAATATTTCATGAATAAACGTAAATCCGAAATACATTGGATAAAAAAATAATCATACACAATAAACCTGCAATTTTCATTAACAATTCATTTCACTCAAATAAATTCAACTTAAAATTTGTTAATTGTTAATTCAGCCCGATATTAATAGTTCCTTTGAAAACTGTTGAATGAATGAAACCAAAAATGTAAAGAAATTCTATTCAGTTTCGACAGCAATAGACGAAGAGCTAATAACATTTTTGAACAGTATATCTTCTGAACAAGAGTTCTAATATTTAAAGCGTAAGTTTTTATTAAATTTTATATTATATATACAAATATTACATTCAAAAAATGTAGAAGTTCTCAAAACTCAAATATCGACAATATTTTAAGCTTGCGAGCAATTTGCTTGAAGCAAATAATTGTTGCATCTTAATTTATATCTAATTCACTTCAAATCTCAAAATAAAATCAACTAGATTTTCACTTGCTATATCCGAACTGTATGAAAAGCTATTTATTTGATTCATTCTCAGTAAATAATTGATGATTTTATTAGGTTTGCCATTGCTCATGAAAGAAGTTCTCCATGAATTTTATTAGATTTTTATTTATAAACGTGTATACATAGTGCTTTTTGAGAGCATGTATATGCTTAATAAATCAGATTATTTTATCAATAATTTTGTAATAATCATTTTGATTGTCTAATCTTTATTTTTCTAATATGAAAATTGCTAACTAATTTCATATATTATTTATTCATAAACGTGTCTATATAATTCTTTATATGTTCAATTTAAATTTAGATTTCTCTAGTACTAATTTAATAATATTTGCTCTGATTGTCAATATCCTAATTTTTATATTTCTTTTATAAAAATTGCTATAAGAATTTTATTACTTATTACTCTTTTACCAAAATGCAAGGCATGCTCAAATAATATATCCTGAGAGAGTAAAAAGTTTTCAAATATTCCAAGTGATGGCTAATAATATTGCTATTGCTAACAGAAAATTCAATTTACGTTGCAAAAAAATCTGATCTTTAAAAATCATATTTTTCATGACAAAAAGCAAATTTACTACAACTTATCAGACTATGGACTTATCGGACACTGTTTTTTTTTTAAATATTGACAGTAATTAATTGTATATGTAGTTAGTAGTTTTTAACAAAAATTCATACTATTTTTCTTCGTTACATAATTACTCTGGTTGGATTGTTACTTTAAATTTTAGTATTTTTGAAAATTTTAACATTTCTTTGATATATATATATATATATATATATATATATCATATTATCATATTAACATGAATTGCTAAGAAAATTCTTCCCTAAACATCATTTTAATTTGCGTCGTGTTTTGTAAGAACATAAAGTAAAGGTGTAGGTATAATAACAAAATTTAACACAAAAATCTGATTATATTTATGAAAATCCAATCAAAAATCCAGGAATCATTTTGATAGTATGAAATACTCATACGAACTAATTAAAATATTTAAGCTTCAGAAAAGAGCTATTCGAATAATTTTTTCCCTGCCCAGTAAAGCCTCCTGCAGACCCTTATTTAAAAAATACAATATTCTAACTGTCCCATGCATTTTTCTGCTAGTAACATTAACTTTCATCAAAAACAATTCGAAACTTTTTGATATGGCTTCGTCCTCAAATTACAACACTAGACACAAACTTATTAAGGCGCGTACATTTAAATTGGCCAGCTCTTTCAATACGATCGACGGTCTTCCACTTCCACTCAATATCCGAAACTTAGACAGCAAAAAATTTCATGCTTCCCTAGTTAAACTTTTTAAAGACTTAGCTTTTTATGACATTACTGAATTTTCTCAATTTGAATTCAATAACTATTTTCTTGCATAATCTTTATCCTGTATCTATGTAGTCTGACCATTTGATCGCCTGTACAACCATTATTTTTTTTTCTCTTCATTTTTTTTATTGCTATTTTATTAATTTAAATTTTTTACGGTTTTAAATGAGTATAACTTTCAACCTTGTGCAAGAATTTTGAGCTTGACTGGTGGTCAAATAGACTTTAATATGATGAACTTGATGATGAACATTGTATTTAATGTTCGAATGCTTTTTTTCAGCTCTTTTTTTCAGAATCAAAATTCGTGCAGCTACTATGATTATTATAAAATTAGTATCCTTTTAATATTAACTATGAATAAGCTTGACAAGAGCCTGAAATAATATCTATTATTATTGATTACGGCTTGCTTATGAATAAATAAAATAAAATAATAATAAAATAAATACTAAATTTTATCCGAAATATACATTTTTGTAGATAATTAAATGATATTCCAGAAAAATATATTATATATGATTATAATAAATTACAACATTCTTTTTAATCTGGTATACCACAAAAAAAAAATTATTTCCTCAAGCTTCCTCACTAAAGTTTAAGTTCGAATTACCCGCTTAAGAAACAAGTTAGCCACTACACAAAACGCGAATTACTTGAACACGTGTTTTGACATTAGAAACATAACCCTATTTCAAGATTGACGTTTCTTATATTACGTTGAATTACTTTAATGTTAATATAATCTAATAATATAAATATATAAGTAGTGCTTCGACAGAAATTTGCTCTAACAAATTTTGGATTCATTTTCGATATCCAAATGTTTTAATATTTATTATAAATCATAATTTAAAATCATAGTGTTAAAGTAGCATACAAAATGAAAGTCAAAGTAATCAGCAGAAATCCTGATGAATACTTACGTCCAACAAAATTGGATATACATAGAGGTATATGAAATAAAAAATGTGTTTTTATATGCTATATCTCAAACTAATTGCTTGCCAGACAAATAACCTCGAATACCAATTTTTATCATTGAGACCATGCAAAAATGTCCTTGATTGATTGATTATTCTGGTGTTATTATTTTCTTACTTCCAAACCTGTAATAATACAACGCATAAGTAATTTGGCCACTTTTATAAAGCCACTAATTCAACGAAGAAATTTTATACAACAAATAAGTGCAAATAACGCTGCCAGAATTTCTATAAAATTCATTCCGAAGTATTTTTTTCTAGCAAAAGTCTATACTTATTATTTTTATATTCAGTTCCCAGAAACTATGATCCTGCACTACATCCATTTGAGGCTCCCAGAGAATATGTTAGAGCTCTAAATGCAGTTAAATTAGAAAGGGTATTTGCTAAGCCTTTTGTCGGCAATCTTAGCGGTCACAGAGATGGTGTATCCTGTTTTGCTAAACATCCAGCAAGTTTATCAAATTTAACCAGTGGTGCCTATGATGGAGAAGTTAGAGTTTGGGATTTGCCACAAAGAAAATGTATTAGAAGTTTCGTTGCACATGAAGGTAATAAAAATATCATCAATATAATGATTCACCTTTCACTATAAAGTGCAATAAATTCATTCTCAAATTATTCCATTGAATGAGTTTTTAAATATTATTTATCAATAATTTCAAATTCTGATTTAGATTTCTTTGCACTCATATATAGGAAATGGTTCATTAATCCTCAAAAACAGGGACAAGCATCTTATAAACATTAAATGGAAATGAGATATACATCGTTTTCCCTGTGCTTTTGGTGTTATGATAAACACTTTTCTATGATGAGCATAACTTGACTTATTGCCTCAGATACATCAAAAATGAAATTTAGTCGAACTCAATTTATTATAATAAAAATAATTGAATTTTCATTCATTATATTATTATTATTTTTCTGGTATATCAATTATATCTCAACTTATTATAATAAAAATAATTGATTTCTCATTGACTTGATTTCTCATCATTATTATTTTTATTTACTATAGGGATAGTAAGAGGTCTAGCATATAAACCAGATGGCCAACACTTTATAACTGTTGGTGATGACAAAACAATCAAAACCTGGAATACCAGCCCTCCTGAATTTGGAGAAGAAGAAGAACCCGTCAATACAATTTTAAGTCGAACAATACTAACAGGAGTAACCCATCACCGTAAAAAACCTATAATAGCCACTTGTGGTGAAGTCTGTCAATTATGGGAACATGATCGAAATGAACCCATAAGGTCTATGAAATGGGGAGTAGATAGTATTCATGATGTAGCCTTCAATCAAGTTGAGACAAACTTATTAGCGGCTTGTGCCAGTGATAGAAGCATTATATTGTATGATACCAGGGAAGCTAAACCTTTGAGAAAGGTTGTTATGACTCTGAGATCTAATAGACTGGCATGGAATCCTATGGAGGCCTTTACATTCACCTTGGCAAATGAAGATTATAAGTAAATAATTGTTTTTTTTTTTTATTTTACTTTATTGACTTGACTTTACTTTATTGACATTATTGACTGGTTTTTAATTAATTTACCTTGATCAATTTCCTTCATTACATTGTCAATTGGATCAAGCTTTTAAATTTAAAATTAGTGCTAGCGGTAAACTAATAGAATTAATAATGATAATTTTAAAAGTCATATTGTATTTTATCTCACCTTTGAAAATATTTGATATTAGAGTGAGCAAAATGACACATATTATTGTGTATATATATAATTTGTTTATAAGTATGAATTTATAAATGCTTATCACAATTTTTTAGTTTATACACATTTGACACAAGAAATTTAAGACAACCAGTAATGGTCCACATGGATCATGTTTCGGCTGTAGTAGATGTAGATTATTCACCAACAGGAAAAGAATTCGTTTCTGGAAGTTATGATAAAACAATCAGAATTTTCGACAGTCACATGGGACATTCAAGAGAGGTATTAATTTTAAAAAACATATATTATGAGTGTATATTTATGATTACTTGTTTAATTGTCAAATTAATTAACAGGTGTATCACACTAAACGTATGCAGCGTTTGACTTGTGTACTATGGTCCCTTGATGATAAATATGTTTTGAGTGGATCTGATGAAATGAATATCCGTATGTGGAAGGCTAGGGCAGCAGAAAAGCTTGGAGTGGTATGTATTTCATATTTCAATAAAAATTTAGAATGAATTTTGTTAATGTATGACCTTTTTTTTATCAGATGAAACCGAGGGAACGAAATGCTATACAAGTTGCAACAGCTTTGAAAGAGAAATTTGCTGGCCATCCACAAATCAAGAGAATCGCAAGGCACAGACAAGTTC